ACCTTCCCATCTCTCCCCTAATTCCTCCCAAATCTGCTCCCACCTCCCAACATGCCTAACTCCCTGTCCTCTTTTTCCTTTTTAAAATCTGTGGACTTCTGTTTATACTTTCTGTGGGGGTGGTCAACCTACCAGGGCCACACCCTTAAAGAAAACTGACTCTCCCTACCTCAAAAGACATCAACTTCCAGAACTCCCGAGCTGGGGTGGAGGCTTCTGAACTCTCTGGGCTCCATGTTAGAATGTCAACTGGCTTGATCTTGTGCAGGCCTTCTGCAGGCAAACACAGTTGCTGCTGTCATTTAAATCTTAAACCAAGCCACTGTAATTTGCTAGGGGTTGGCAGATGTTGCTGTGAGGATTGATGAGGTGATCTTTTGTTAAATACAACTTCAAATGATAAAGGTCTGGAGGTAGACATTATTAGAAGGAGGGCCATGACTCTAGATCAGACATGGGAATGGTGGTTTAACAATTCAGTTGGCTAGGATGATAATATAGCAATCTTTTTATTCACTCATCAGTGCAATATAACATTCTTCTCAGCAGAGGTCACTTAGTACCATATCTGCAACACTAGTTATTATATATATAGTGATCCTTGGTTTGGGGAAGAAGAAAAGTGACATAGCTGTTCTTTGAAGACAGTTCTTTAGGGCTGGAGAAATGACAGTGGGTAAGGCACTTGCTGTGCAAGCCTGGCAACCTGAGTTTGATCCCTGGAACGTTTATAAAGAAGGAAGGAAAAAACTGACTACAAGTTGTCCTCTGACCTCCATATGTGGGCCATGGCATGTGTCCCCCCCCATCATACACACATACACACAATAATAATAATAATAAAAGTTAAAAAGAAATAGTTGTCTGAAAGCATTTTACTCAAGTAAAAATGGACTTGAGTTCAAAATGGGTGTGTACGCAGTGCTTTGTTCACCCCACTGTTTTCCTTCCCCCTTTGGATTTCTTAAGTTCTCTATAAACTGAAATTAAGAATCTGCATGTACTTGGCACAAGGTCTCAGCAGAGCCTTCGTATTCAGCACCTGAAACAGGTAACGTCCATTGTGCACAACACATTGGACATACGTTTTCTCATGAATACTAAAGATCATTGATTCCAAGCTCCACCTGAGCCAATACCAGATAAATGCCTCAACCTCAGAATGCTGTTTCACATGTCTGTGCCTGAACTTCCCAGTGCTGATACTCAGCTGACCCCTGAATGTACAGTTGTGAAAGGAGAACATTATAAATCACACACACACACACACACACACACACACACAATACGTTTTCTCATGAATACTAAAGATCATTGATTCCAAGCTCCACCTGAGCCAATACCAGATAAATGCCTCAACCTCAGAATGCTGTTTCACATGTCTGTGCCT